GAGTGTACACACTAAAAGTAAGACCTTTACGCGCGCCTACATCAAGAGTGTCGGTTGACTTTGTTGAAACAGATTGCAATCCTTTCAACACATCCTTCACGTCTAGCACTGCTGCCTCTTCTATTCGTCGAGGAACAAGCGGCTTATTTAGTTGGATGTCGACACTAATGTAGGCGCTGTGCTGATCGAAGTTGATGCCCTCCACAGGGACAGTATCAATGGCGCCGGATTTTGCAGTCTCCTTTCTCTAGTAATTGTTGATGGTCAGACAAGAAAGAGTACATTATAGTTTCACAAGGTAAGTCACCTTACCGAGGTTGAAGCAGTCCTGCCCTTCTTAGGCAATGAATTTGCAGCAGTACTCAATATGTCAACAACGTCGACAGCAATTGATGGTTCCTCCATATCCTACCACAAGTGACAATCATGAGGCTTCGTGCAATGCATCAGTCAACACCTGCTATCCTACTACAACACGTGACTAAGAGAAAATTTTAAACTTTTTTTTGTAAAAGCAAATACTTTCTTGGAAACTTTAGTGTTATGGCTCTTTCAGTAAGGTAGCGACTTGTAGAAACCGATCCTCCAGATTCTATCACATCAATGTGCGGCAATGCCTGCCCCTAGAGATCACCACATGAATGTCACTTCCATCTCTTATTTGTCCACTTTGACGTGTTTGACTATCATCTACATTAGCTCAAAAGTGCGACAGGAAATCTTCTTTAATGCAATTTTTGTGGTATACGGTCTCACATTTTCTTGCAGCAGTACGAATGGACCACTTTTCCCGATATTTGGCAACGAAATACAGAAATCAATTTTTATCAAGACCTTTCTTTTGCAGCTCCATTTGCTTAAGGATCCACTATCCGTGGTACACTAAACACACGCACAACAACTCGCAGATTGGGCAAGATTACGTGGGATAGAGAGGTGAGGAGAAATGATTATACGTGTATTTTGTGGCTCAAAGAAGGCTGCAAAAAGACATTTTTTGTCAACGACTACCGTCAGATAGTCACTCAATTAGCGAGTTCTTCAAGGCGAATGCAGGGGTGACGAGGGACAAAAAGTCAGCACTTATTCTACCTCACTTTCCACCGCCCCTGTGTCCACATAGAAAATCGCATTCACTTTCCCGCATGGTCCCATGGCAGAAACGTCGCTTCACACGTTACAAGCCACACTTTCTCATAATTTACATTCCATTAATCACAAGTGTCACTTAACTCTTCTCTAACAGGGAACAAAGGGGCTTC